AGGAAGTGGGCAGGGCAGAGATGAATAAACATATATTTCTTATTATTTCATAGGCATCAGCTGAAGGCTGGCTAACCCTGGCAACTGGACAGGAGATTTAACTCCTTCAACAGCTCAAACTTCCCAGACCTGCAAGTCGCCCCTACTGCAAGGGCTTCGTGCTCTTCAAGTAAACCTGCTACAAATGACAAACACAGCCAAAGCTAAGGCAGCCGCTCTTCGGCTCCCAGGGGCCCTCCTCTCAGCACAAGACACTGTAAAAGCTGCTTACCAGCTCATAACTATAAGGGATGCGAAGGTGGCAAAGCCCTTTGGGCCCTCTTGGTCAAAGGTCAAGGCACTGGCGCCCAGCAAGGAGGTGACCGAGGGGGAGAAAACATAAACCTCTGCTGTTAAGTAGCTAAACTAGGCCAGATGGGCGGAGCAAGAGGTGGCAGAGAGCCCTGCCTCCACTTTCCCATCCTCCCTCTCCTCCCAGCCCCACCCCCAGCGCCTGGGCCCCCAGCGCCTGGGCCCCCAGCACCCTTCCCCATCGCAAGCTCTGCCCAGCCTCCCACTGCTCCGCCCCCATGATTTCCCAGTGCCGCCCCACCCCCCCAGCATGCAGTTCTTCCTTTATGGGAGGAGCTTGGTGGAAAGTCTAGGGGACAGCTCACCAAAGGGTCTTTAATCCGGGGTGGGGCGGTGAGATTCCTCTCTTAGTCTTTGTGCATATTAATATTTTCTACTTTCCCCACACCATTCTTGAAATGCTTGAGCAATTTTGAGTAAAGAAAAAGTAGGAGAAAACTTTATATAACCGTGTGCTTTATTTCATCTGATCTCCTCCAATATCCTGTGGTGTAATTATTTTCATCGCCAGTTTACAGAGGAGACAAGTGGAAGCTCCCAGAAGGTCAGCGGCTTGCCTGAGGTGCTGGCTGGAGGGGTTGTGCGTGATCATGTGGGACTGACACCCCGGTGCCCTCACTAGGGTTCTAGCCATGCAGCTGCAAACTCACTGTAAGATTGGGGGGGTGGAGGGAAA